CACAACTCGGCAGGCGGGGGACCTGGGCTTTAAAGCAGTGCTTCCCAAACTTGATCTCAGCATCACTCCATTTCCTGGGCATGGCCCCCTCATTTCCAACCCCCAGCCTCAGGACTCCCTCAGCTCCTGCTGCTGCGATCCCAATTTTGTGAACTGCTCCCTTAAAGGCTGCAAGTGGGAAAGGAGCAGTGAAAAAAACCCAACCCTGGTCATCCCCAGTTGACTCCCTTTTCAGCGTCCCCTTCTGCCACCTGCCTGTTTGATGCCCATAAAAGACCTGCTACCACCCGCCCTCCCCGGCCCACCCTTTTATTCCAGGGGGTTGCTGATTGGGGGGGGGGAATAAAGGTGAAAACAGGTGGGAGTGAGGGGCAGAGGTTGTTAAGGGGTGCACGAGCGGGGAGCAGAGCACACTGGCCAGCGCCTACTGGTGCTTGAGCAAGTCCAAGGAGCCAAGGGACCCTACCCAGTGCAACTCTGCCTGAAGACATATGAGCAGAGAGGGACATGAAAACAGGCCCACAGTCCTGGGGTGGGGTCCTCCTGACCAGAGCTTCCCCCAGGTCAGGTCGATCCAGGAGGTTGAGCAGGAGGTTGCGGGACTTGGTGGGGCTGTGCATGGGGAGCGCATAAAGAAAAAGAAGCTGGAGTGGTGCAGCAAGCACCCCAAGAGGCTCTTGAGGAGGCAGTGAACGGGCTGCAGCCTGGCACGCTCAAGACAGGCATGCACCAGAGTGCGACACAGGACTGGTTGGTGTGCCAGGGAACGTGTACCTAGATCCACCTGTCAGGTTTGACCTAGAAACCACTACACATAGCCCAAGCAAAAGTCTCTGTTATGTAACTAATGCCCATCTGCAATGATAAGGAGGAGACAGTCTTAGATAAAGGAGGCTTGAAAATAAAAGCAGAATTAGTGGACTAGGGCAAAGAGCTGATTTAAATATTAAGATTCACACCCCTAGGTGGGGAGAAAGTATGCTAATGAAACATACATGTATGGAAATGAGATACATAGCTAAAACACAGGTATAGAGACATGCTCAGTAAAGAACTCCTTGCGTCACTCCCTTATAACCAATTAGCAAACAAGAATGCTTATGAAGGTCCAATACTCCTGTATAAAAGATGCTTAGAATTAAGAATCTGTGTGCTTGTTACGTGAAATTATTCCGCTTGCACCTTGTATTGCTAGCAATAAATCTTTATACTTTCACCCCTGGTATCTTTATTGGCTTTTGCATACCGGGCACGATCCCAGACTTGAGCTGGGGCTCAACACACCAAGACAAACTACAAGCCTTCCTTGCTAAGACAGGCTACTACAGGCACACCAGCATGTTCTTTGGGACAAATAAACAGAACAGGAACAAGAGTACGGTCACAGGTTAATGAGTGCACCAAGGGGGGACACCTAGCAGAGGACACTTGAATGAGTCCAAGGAACCAGTGGCCACTGCCTACTGAAACTGCCTGGAGACGTGCTTGGATGAGGGCCAGGAAGACGGCCTCAAAGTCACCAGAGGTCATCCCAGTCAAAGCCTCCTTCCCGGTCAGATACATGGCTAGCTTGGCTAGGGCAGGAGGTTGCACGATTTGGTGGAGCCATGGACGGGGAGTGTATAAATTAAGGTGCAGGAAGTAGTGCAGCCAAAACCTAAGCCAAAGGCTCTCGAGGCAGTGAAGGGGCTGTAGCTTGACGCACTGAAGATAGGTGTGCGCTAGACCGTGTGACACACCAGACTGGGCAAGAGGGACCTGTGGTTTGACCCAGTAAACAGCAGTTCTTGTGTCCTTATGAAGTGGGCTGTTGCATACACAAGCCTATTCCTCCCTGAACGAGTTAGCCCCGGAGGTATCGCCTCGCCCTACCTTCTGCCTGCAGAGCAGCCAGGAAATCCCAAGTGCAGGTATTTCCTGCTTCACCTGCTTCTAACCCTGTCCCTTGGGATCTCAGGAAGCATCACCCAACCCATATCTTTTGATTCCCCAGTGTGGCCACCTGAGGCTAAAGCTGAGGGGATGGTCATCTCATTAGACAACTTCTCATTAGAAAATGTTGCATTGGGATGAGGGGGAGTTTCGGATTTTGGAGTGTTGAGTAGGCTACACTGAGCCTTTTGGCTGGGGCAGGATATAAACCTAAGACGTGAATGAGTAAATGAATTGAAATGGTGGGAAAAGAAAGGGAGCAGGAATGATGCAGCAGATCCTAACTCTTGGTTGGCAGCATGGTTTTGAATCTCTAGCCTTCACCTTCACTTGGGTATCTTTGTCATTACCTCTCCAGGGTCCCCAGCTACCACCCTTTCATAACGAGAGGGTACATGATGCTTAGCACAAGTCCTGCTGCGGTTTGGGTTTATTTAGTAAATGCTGGTGTCACATACAAACATCTCTTTTATGCTGTCTTCTTACGCTCTGCAGTTTAAGATTACCTTGGGTAGGTAGGAGTGGCTGGGGCCAGTAACTGTGCTATCCCCAGAAGCCTTACCTGGAGTCTTGGGGAGCTGCAGCTACGGCGCTCCTGCAGCTGGGAGCCTGGCTGGCAGCCAGAGCGTGGCTCTAGCAGGCCAGGCTCTGCGTGCACTGCCGCCACATGTGCTGCCCTGCTTTAAGGTGCAGATTTGTTTGACCCCAAGATCTCCCAGGGTCAAAAACCTCCCCTGTACTGCAAGGTAGCAACACAGGGAATGCCTGCATGTGTGGTGGCGTAGACGGGTCTGCGCCGCCTCTTTGTCTGCTTCAGGTCTGATTTCCAGTTAATGACTACTGCTGAATATTTTAAACTTCCTATCTACTGGCTTAGAAAGATTACAAGTTGTAAAACCAATATTAACCTTTTGTTTTATGTGACAAAAATGTGAAGACAGGTTTGGCAAAAAATCATAAGCTTATTCAAACTCCCTTTTAAGGCAGCATTATTTACGCAGCTTCTCTGCAGTCTCACAGTCTGGCTCAGCAGAGATGCTGCTGTTCCCAGTTTGATATTGTTCTTGCAAAGAATGGCAGCCATTTCCCCCCGGATTCCAGAGTATAGCACTTGATTCACAAAGGCATTAAAGACTGAAAGGTTTCTTCAAGCAAAGGCCTACAGTTTTGTTGATGTAATGAAATGCCAGGAGCCTACAAACAATTATAAAGTTTTTTTTCATTCAGAAAAAGTTGTAAAATACTTCATTGAATACAGTCATTTCAACATTGTAAATTTTTAAATTCACAGTCACAGGAGGAATTTAAAATCTTTAGGCCTGCAAGACTTGCACTTTCCTCAAAATAAAGATTTGGAAAACAAAGATAGTCTCTAAGAATGGGGTGCAATTAAGCAAAAACACCATCAGAGACATAATAGAAGTAAACATTATTCAAAGTTGACTGAAGATCAATATGTAGTCTGCACAATCTCTCTTTCTAATCCAACATCTTCAGCAATCTCTTTAGAGCTTTCCAGGCCCTCTGTGATTGCTTGCACTCACTTCCAGCCTGTTGGATTGCTCTAGGCTCTCTGAAATTAGTACCATGCTTTAACCAGAAAAGTCATGATGCTTTTGTAAATTTGGTCCAGAATAATCTGTTTCTCATAGTGGCATGTAGCAGAGGTTGTTTAGTCATCAACTGATTCTATGTGGGCCAGTTCTTTATAATTTGTTCAAATTATTGATCTATGAAGTTACTACTACTCCTCTGGGGAGATCGTTCCTTCGCCTTGAGATTGCCAAAATAAGGATTATTTAGGAACTCAGTCCTCCAGCATTCTCAAAACTTGAATGCAAGTCTACCTTGTCCTCTGTATTATTTGATGAGGTACCCAATAAGGCCTGATCCAGGATATATATTTTTTTCTGACTATTTTATTCTGTATAGCTGGAGCAGGCATCTGCGCTAAAAACTGCTTAATCTCTGTTGGACACGCTTGTTGCTCATCCGTAACTCTGACCCATGCAGGAGAATGCTTAATTCGTTGTGAGTAAAAATTCATGGCCTAGTGCTAATGCTGATAGATTTGCAGCATTTACCCTCTCAAACCATTGCATCATAGACACAGTCACCAGACTTTTGGAGCCTGCAGCCCAAGCTAAACTCATTAACAACAGGCTTCCTCTTCTAGAAGGATCATATTATCTGAGAGTACATCAATTTTGACTCGCTGATTATAAGAACTATTTGTTTTCAATTTTGACTTGCTGATTATAATAACTGTTTACTTATTCTGACTAAGCTGTATTTTTGTTTTCTTTCATTTTACTTATGGACATATTCTGAAAGCACATTTAAGCAAAGCCCAGGTCTTCAGCCACTTTGTTTATTCAGGGAGTTCTGGCTTCCATGTCAGAAGTTCAATATGTAACAAAATCAATGGCAATTCCAAGCAGCACAAAGACATATTTTTGTCTAACTCCAATGCTAACATCAAGTCAGCTAATTCCTGGTTGTAGATCACAGTCATTCAAATGACTGTGATGTTCTTCAGTATCTTGATAAAAAATTTGGAAGATCTGGATAATTTTAATGGAAATCCATAGAT